CAGGCAACTATGGACTGTTGATCTTTGGGTATATTAATTTAGAGAACATACATAAGCTGGAGATTTTCAACAAATCCGTATGAATACCATACTTTGGAATACGATTGTTTCAATGCATTAATAACGAGATATGATTGAGTCAGTTTTTGTATAGTAACTGGTATATACGCGTAATTATAGTAAGGAAGACATGATGTATACCCTATGGATACATTTTCTTGATCAGATAATTTAATGAATAAAATAACCAGCAGCACTTTCATTAGAGCAATTTCTCAAACCCTCAGCATCTGCGCTACATCTCAGTTAGAGTATTGAAGATTGTGCTTTCAAGTAAGTGTTATTTATAAGATACATCCCTGAAGTGAATTAGAGTATGCTAGATTGGCTAAAGGGAGATTTAGGGATTCTCGCTCGCATTTGGCGATTATAACGAATTGATTGTATCGATGAAAGTAATTTATATTAGAGATATATCAGTGAAGAGACTAGTAAGTGGTAAGAGTGGGAGACTCGGATCCTACTCTACTCTCTGATGACTACTAGTACAGTATAATAAAAGTATTGATTGACATTATGATTTTATGGTTGTTATAGCAATATCTTTTAATAGAGAAATTTCTGTAACTAAGTAGTACATTTAAATTAGCTCTTATTACTGCTAATACATCAGTAGTACTAATCGGATCATTAATTGATTACGTCTATCATTGGTCATCAGTAGAAGATGTGTCTATAACTAGGCATTATCACAACAATTAATTCTTTGATATAAATCATAGTAGCGATGCTATGCTGTTTTTATCACTGTTACTCCAAATTATTTACTACAGAAATCGATTGTAACATACAGTAATAGTAATAGACTAATAATATACTGTACATTTTATGACAAGTCAGTTAACATTTACAATTGCATACTACAGGAGAAAAGCTTTGGAAAATGTTAGCGTGCAAAATTTCCACTCATATCCTGTTCAATTAGTAAGTTCTATTCGTGTCTTTCATATAAATGTATAAGAATAGATTATACAAGCTAACCTACCACTTCACGTGGATCTGAAAAGAACTTTTTCTCCCTTATATTTGCCGTACGAAAGCGTAGAAAGACCTCGGTTAAACTTGTGGTAGCCATAGCGTTACAATTAAACTAAAGGTAGACTAAAAAAATGTTGCGAGTATTCAATCAGTAATGCGTCCTGTCAGATACAGTGCTATAAATGATACCATTACATAATGATGATTCATACTGTATGGTGGATGATGTACTGTACAGTACGTACTGTAGACAGTTGAGCTTTAGAAAGTACAGTACCTCGTACTGTACTGTACAGTACACTTGTACAGTACGAGGACTGGATACGGTGACGGTGTTACTGTATGCGTCCTTTTCTACTGTAGAAGTGCTTTCATCTTTCCCTGCGATTACTGTACTGTATGTACTGTAGTTTGGGTCCGCAAAGATGCACTCGTGCTACTGTACTGCAGTACTGTATGCAAGACATCTTATTGACAAGACTTCAAAAGACAGTCGAAAGTCTACTACTATATTTATTACTGTAAGAACAGCCTTTGAGCCAGGTAGTACAACTCTCTACTGTACTATTTTTTTGGTGTGTCGATATTGTACCATATAACCATCAGTTTCATGATTAGAATACGACTGAAAGAGGTCTACCGTAGAAGGAGGCAGTTTTATTATTATTTCTTCATTATAGCAAGTCTATTGTCCATATGTTTTCTCCATATGGGTAGTACAAATGTGCCGGCACATCACGTTGACTAACGGTAGCTACAGATTCGCGTCTACTGTACTGTACACTGTACAGAGTACAGTGTACTGTATGTACCGTAGATGGGTACAGTCATGATCTACAGTATAGTACTGCAGCCATTTCAATTCTTTAATGGTGCGTGATCCAGCGTAACTGTGGTGATGGATTCCATTGCCCCTCTCTCTTTTCCTTATTTCATACTGAATTAGCGCTATATTTATTTATTTACTATTTCGCATACGCAGCAAGTTGTAAGAGTAATGTGTCTTTGTTTAAACGCTGAGTAGTGAGTATGTGCTGTAAACTCAGTGTGAGTACAGTACAGTACAGTACAATGAATGTACATTGTACAGTGTACAGTACTGTACACTGTACTGTATATTAGGCCCAGCCATAATAACCCCGATTACTCAGATACTCAGCGTAAATAGCTTAAACGATGATACATTATTGCTATTTACGCTGAGTATCTGAGTAATCGGGGTTATTATGGCTGGGCCTACTGTATATGGATTGCAGAGGAAGCTTGACTCGGACAGTCGGACATACGGACCTCATCTTATTACGGTGGCCGAACGATCTGCACACGTTCGGAACAGTAGCTTTATACTGTACTGTACTGTATGTATTTTTTATAACATACCGTATAGTGTACAAAACAGCACAGCACAGTACAGTACACCGTACTCTAATATACAGTACAGTACTGTACCGTACTGTACTGTGCAGTACAGTACTGGAATCTCGATCATTCATTCTCTAGTAGAGAACAGTACCGTACTGTACAGTGTGGTACAGGACTGACTACAGTACCGGGTGAAACGACCCGACAAGGTAATCTCTACTAACTACAGTACTGTACTGTACAGTACAGTACAGTACTCTACAGTATGTTCTTGCGCACTGAATGACTGAACTACAGTACTGTACTGTAGACTACACTATAAAAAACACAGTGTCATCTACTGTCATCTATTGTCTGTCAATCGAAGTTACAGGCACCTACGCCAACAGCCAACAACCGAAATGTCTTCAGCAACATTTGTATTTATTGGTAAATATTTTAATTGCAAGATCTTATTACTGTATTTTATAATAAATGTAGTATATCAAAATTTTTCTAAACTACAAGTGTTCAGTATTAGCGTTTATTCCCTTAATCAGAACAATAGCTGACTATATTGTACAGTATACCTTTATTATAATGATCACAAGTGGCAGGTTCAAAGTTATTGACGAAAGCAAAAGTGCTATCAAGGCCTTGCAGGCATTATTATTCTTATGCCCATTCTAGAACAGTACACGATTAATGAGGATGATATAACTGCTTGGACTACGAATTTTGAGTGTACATTTGTGATCTAGTATAATACGGTATGGAATTACGTAAGCATCACACTGTATCTCTCTACTAGCGAACATAAAATCCTTAAAATAACTGTTTGCTAATCGTTGATACAGTACACTCAGTATAGACTAATTTACACGTTTACTTACCGATTGCATGATAAAATTTGGGATATACAGAAATCAATTTTTGCATACTATTTTCCTGCGGTCCGTAATTCTAGGATTACCGTTCCATGTCGGTTCCATAGCAATTCACTTCAGATTACATTACCTTGCAATATTTATCTTGCAATAGTTTTTTCACCAATTTATAAACAAAAATTTTCCTTTCTATACGATTAGTTATAGATTCGATGTAGAACTGAGTTTACGTTTTACCATTCATTCATTTGAACGAGCATACTGACAGTATTATATATACATTTAGAAAATTTAGAAAGTAGAGCATATAGTGTAGGCATCTCTACAATGGTATAACACTTCTGATTTTTAGTTCAATCTATAAATTCAGGTGCTTCTGCCGTAAATTGTACTCTTTCTCATATTTTCAAATGCTTGACAACTTAACTTTTTAATCAATCTGTTATAGCATGGTTAATAACCCAAGTGAATTGCCATGCGATCGAGTTGGATGAAAAGTAAGTAGTTTTTACTCATTAAGGTTATGTTAATTGTAAATTTTCGTTTGCAAACATTTTATGTATTTACGATTAACGGAATGTCTATCAAATTGGAAAAACTGATTTCTCTATTGAATTATGAGAAATACTTTTATGTCCATATCTACTGTAGATGAGGGAACTGTAATGTTGGTGTAGGCCTCATGATCTTTCTTTGTGTTACTTGCATTGTGTGAAGAACCTTGTTTCTACAAAATCCAATGCAATATTATAATGTTGCGCAAAAAATCCTCGTTATTTTTCTTTTTTAGACAACTGACTGTATCTTCTCCAATATCTTAAGATATGACCTATATAACAAGTATTTATTGAAATCTCGCTTTACCGATATACTGTGTGTGTAGTACAATATATCTACCGTAAGGTCATGAGATGAGGACTTTGACAATTAACTATATATCAGTGTAACAACGTCAGAATAAGTGTTAGTAATGTGCCACTGTAGTAATATTTCATTATTGATTCATATACGGATAGCTTCTGAAACTACGGTACATGGTAGTTGAAGCGCTTATAACACAAAATTATATAGAAAGATGATTACACGAGAAATAGGCTCTATCATTAATTTAATGTCGCATTGAAAACGCATTCAATAAACACGCTTATACTTTACATGTCGTAGATTCATTTATTCCTTGATAGCATTAGCGATTTGAGGGTCTCTACATGACCGTCAAGTCTGTTTATTGTTTCTTTCCTTAACAATACTTTTGGCTTAAATACGCATATACTGTACAACAATAAATTTGTTACTTTTTTTTAAGCTGTATCGCAGGATGTATGCAGTTAGGGAACTTGTACACAACACAATATTATATAAACGTAAATTTTTACTGCCAGTAAATACATATATACAGCAGTGCACAATGTTGTCCATTTAAGCCTTCAACTGAGACTATTAACTAGATAAATAAGTGATTGTTGTAGTATACTCTCTCTTCACAGTATTTAGAATGTTCAATATACAAGTAGAGTACATCGCAGTCCGTAAAATTCTAAGCGACCAATACCGGCGATCCTGCACATATATAATAAAAAATTAAAGTTATAGCATTATAAATTTCAGTTTCGTTTCTAGCTCCCGTATGTGAGCCTGTCGCACTAGCAGTAACATCAAACGATACTGTTATAACAACATGCAAAAATACTAGAGTACTATGCTATGTATAGTACTGTACAGTAGTATTCCTAGCAGTACAACACAGTATTTGTAAGTTATCACAATAGCTATTAATTTTCTTGGTACATTGTTGCTTTTTCTTGTACTTCAATACCCAAACACTTATAAATGTAAGATATGAAATTAAATTTCACTCTTCTTTAATGATATCACGCACCCAATTTTTGTTACTAATACAAGAAATAATTCTACGTGATGTATTTATTCCAATACCTAAAAGAATGTACTAGGTATACGCGTACTGTGTTTTCTTACAAGATGTACAGTACAGCACTTGATGATACACATCGCGGAATCGTTTTTTTTGTACTACGATCAGGAACTACTCAACTAACAATTCTCCCTCAAAAGTCGTAACTAAAAATTTCCCTTATACTAAAATACACCTCAACTAAGAATTCTCCCTCAAAAAGCTTTTGAGGGAGTATTCTTAGTTGAGTAGTCCCTGCTACAGCACTGTTTACTTTATTATCATGAACATGTCTTCCTAAATAAATTTTTCTATAGTTAATATGCTACGCTTTTTGTACTATCCCTACGTTTTATTAGTATTCCTAGATATGAAATCATATTAATCTTATTCTTGTTTATTTTATTTTGGAAATACTTCAGTTTTCACTCACTAAGAGATGACGGAAATTGGCTAGTTATGGTATGTGTACACTGTACAGTGGAATATGTATATTTAAATCTTGTTTTATCTCTTCATCAGTTTCTCTAGCCATGCCTAAAAATTGAACCCTATATAGTTTGAAAGTGTTGAAAAATATGCTCCTTGTCCTTATTTACATTAACAAACGTTTATATAATTTGCACAGTTTTATGCTCCTTGGTGCGGGCACTGCCAACGATTACATCCGACTTGGGATGACGTTAGTAGAGAGTTAAGTGAAACTGAAATTAAAGTCGGTAAATTAGATGCGACTAAGTATTCAGGTAAATTATATAGAACTTTTTTATATGTTTACATCGTGCATTATATTTCATAATTTATAGCTAGGAAGGTTACAAAACTTAAGATTGCAAACGACACACTTTTAATTTGCTTTGTTAATTATTTCATTCTTAACTAAGGTTTTGACAGTAGAATTGTTACATCAACATTATAAAATTCGCCATATAGTACAGTACAGTACGGCATCCACTATATTTATGCTAATATTTTTACAAAGTATTCTAAGAAGAGACCCAAATCTTTATCTATCTTTAGATCATTCCATATAGTATCAGTATTAAATAGTAATGTATTTCTTACAGTTCTTTATATTCTAAAACTATCAACACCATTATGTGGCAAGAATATTTGTGTCAATATACAGTACCGTACGTTATTAATAGAACTAATCAAGTGGTATGAAACGGATTGATTACGATCGTATGAAAAGATTTTAAATGATCGGATATCATGTAATATTTTTATTCTAGATTTAGCACAGGAATTAGGTATCAAAGGATTTCCGACAATAAAATTGTGCGTAATAAATTTTTTATATTATCACCCTAGATTAAAATTGTAATGAATTACTCTTTGGAAAGTTCAACTGTTGATACAGTATAAAATTACTTAATTTATGAAGCTTTGCATCCTTACACTCTAAAATAGACTAGGTTTTAGAGGTTTGGAGTGTATTAATGAAAAATCAATTTATAAAAATATTATTTAGCTTTAAGGACAGTAATTCATCTTTTGATCATTACGGTGGGAGGACAACCGATGCAATTATAGGTTTTGCACGTCGTGCACAAGGGTTCGTTGCTTTTTTTGAATGCCTTCTCAATTATTAATTGCATTCACTCATACCTAATACGTTACTATAGCAATAGGTGCTTGCTAATGTTGGTAAATAGTGATTTTATTATGTTTACATTGCTAGGCCATCATTGCGCACTTTGCATAGTCCTGGTCACTACAAAGATGCTAAACGAAAGCACAAATTAGAGGTTTTTTTCCTTCTTGTAACAGATAATAGTGACAACGAAGATGGCAAATTAGTGATGGTAAAAAAGATAGATTTCGATAGAATAATGTATGTCCAACAGAGTTAAAAACGTCCTAGTTTTAATTTAACGAAATCTATTAATGTAAATATTTTAGGAAAAGTATAAAAACATATCGGATGAAAAGGTTTTAGAAGGTTATTTCTATACCGGAAATTCCCGTATAATCCCTGATGATATCAAAACCAAGATTCAGAATTATCCCCAACTAATTGTATACAAAGATAGTTCCCAATATTTATACGAAGGTATTCGACTTGAGATAAACAAAAAATTTTTACTTATCCATGTCATTTAATGTACGTGATAGTGCTAAGTTTTGTTTCAATATAAATACAATAGGTGACCTCGAATCAATGTGGAAATGGATCAATGAAGAAAGGTTAATAATGAAAATAGTATTTCATTATTTTATTCATCAATGGATTGATCACCTGTTTTAATTGAAATTTTTGCGCATTACTTTCTTTATAGATTTTTATTCTTTCCTAAAGTTGACGAAATTAGCTTCTACGAGACAACCACTAGTGGTAACGCCAAGTTTATTATATAGATCGTATAAATACTTTAAAAATTATGCCATTTATGCTGTCTGCCCTGTTGTCATTAAACATTTCAATTACCCAAATGTCTCTTTTGTTACTTTAGGCAAACTTGTAGTGCTGTTAGCGATTGATGAAGACTACGATAATTACAAGGAACACTTAAAGTATGTTTAATAGCTACCTTTTCTTAGAAGAATTGAAATCAATTACTTTTTAATTAAATATAAAAAGGCTATCGAATATTGCACGACTGGTAGCGTGGGAAAAGAGAGAAAAGTATCATAAGTAAGTTTTCATTACTGGCCAATCTGACTATGGTCAGTACAGTTTTCTGCATCTACAAGAAGTATTTTGACAGTGTCGTTTTAATAGTTTATTTAGTACTATATTCAAATTGTAAATAGGCACTTTCAAATTGCCTGGATGAATGGTGATTCAGTTGTAAAATCTATAACAATGAGGTATGTATAATTTTATCGATCGACCACTTGCGGCAGTCCTTATTTGAAAACACAAGTCACCGTAGTTTCGCATGCAGCATAATTGCCTTTCTTAACAAAAATGTATTTAAAATATCTTTCAATCTCATCTATAGTTACATTGCCTTGCCCTTCCTTTTGGTATACAACGCATCGGATGGAATATACTATCTTCCTGACCAAGTAAGTGAAAGTAGACCCCCGTAAAGTAATTCTTACAGCTTTCTTCACATGTGTTAACGACATAGAAGCTTTTTTATTCTTTTTGAAATCCAAGTACTCTATTTTTCTTAAAGGCACCGTTGTCTATGACTAAGGAGTCTTTCGCTAGTTTCCTTGAGAAAGTTATTGCCAAAGAAGATATTGTGGTAGAACGATTTATCTCATTTTACTGGTTTTGCCTCTTTTGAAATTACAATCTTTATTTAATTTACAGGGCTACGGAGGTTATTCCTTTATCCAAAAAGTGCACAGAGTGAGCGATTTACAACAAGTTCTTATAAAATTAGACGCTGACGTACTTATAATTTTAGTTATTTAGCAACTTATAAATGAACTTTCAATTTTTAGGTTATCTGGAACATTTATTCTACCGTAAAGGTATAAATTACCGTAATAGCATCCTAGTTTTGTAATGATTTTTTCATGCCGTATTTAGTAAAATCTTCTTTATGATTTCATTACAGGATATCTGGGATGCTCAACCTATTTTAGCTCTGGTGTTTTTTCTCCTGCCAACATTGCTCATTTGTTTTGTATGTTATAATATGTGTACTATGGAAGAGAGTGATGAAGGAACTGATGAGTTTGAAGATGAAGAGAGAGTTGAAGGAGAAGAAGACAAGCTACGATAATTATAATAATAAAATGTAATTATATTTATCTTGAAATTTGTAAACCGAGAGTTAATTCATTTAAGGCTATTGTTTATACGTTATTATAAATGCTTTTTTTGTCGAAATCCTTGTTACATTACATTTTTAATCTCTTATTAATTTATTACCTTACCCTCTTGTTCAACTACAAACCCCTCACTTTTATTTGTAATTTACTACAGGAAGGGATTTATTACGTCTATAATTGTTTTTAACTTTGATTCTCTACTATGACAGTTAATCTCCTTGGATCCTATAGTCTATATAAGATGGTACGCTAGAAACTAGGGCTCAACAGCATCACCAATTTGTATTATTTTTGAGTCTAGATTGCTGAGATGTATTATAATGCTATTGGTCATACTTCCACTAAACGGGTCTTGTTCTCTACAGTATTGCGAATGTCCAACGGGTACAGCATTATCTGACTTAATTTTGCATGCCTGAATCTTTATGAACATTTATGTGTATGTTTGTGAGCCAAACGTAGATCACTATATATAAAATTGATGAATCACGTTCTCTTAAGTTCTAAATATCGATGATATTAAACTATCACTCTGTTATATCATTTGTTTAATTACTATTATTGTAGGTCCTTTTTAACATAATTCTAAGTATGGTCGCTTTTAGTAACCATACGCGTATATTTAAAATTTAATAAGTGGCTACAACATCTTACAAAAGCTTCAGTAGATAAGTGCTACAATTTTAAATTTACGAACAAAGTCTTCATCCTTAACAGCATGAAAAGATTAATATCGGTACGAAAGATTATTATCAAATACGGTACTGTACATCTAAAGGCTGTATTTCGATGTTATTTATAGCAGCTTACATGTTAAAAAAGTTGATTAGGAATACAAAAATAGTTTACAACAAGATTATCGTAGGATGTATAATCATTCACCTACAATGATATCCTAGCAATGCTATAATTGCATTTTATTACTGACTCAATTACGCCGATTTGACTAGCGAGATTTATTCATTTCATCAAAGACATTCGTAAAGTTATTAATAAGTGAGAAAGTAACTGCGATAGCACAGGATAATACGAGTATTATAAGCTGAATGTTGACTGTGTGCCTAAAATTTGCACTGCATGTGATTGGAAACACGCGTCCGCACAATACGTATTTTTTTACCGATACACTCAAAAAGGTCCCTTAAGATTTAGCTATAAACGTATATGCTAACCGAGCTTCTGGTAATTTGTTAATCTCAGAATTACATAATGGTCACTTTAAAAGTGTGCTTTTAATAACTTATAGTTTCAATTTCCATAAATGATTATTCTGAGCATAAAGTTTGAATTATTCAAATAGAAACATATGAATTCATTATAGAATGGAAATGTAAAGTTGTCTCACATAAATTGTCATTAAACAAATGATAAAAACATATTTGATAGCTTACTATCAAAATATACATGTACTCAACAAATACAATAAAATTCCTGCGCAAGAGCTGCTTTTACATGTCATTATCATCAGTTAACACTGGATAGTTGAATTAAGCAATAAACGATCACAATGGAGTTAATTTGAATAATGATAAATAGAAATCATCATACCTTTTCTGTACTGATAAAATTTTACGAATTCGGTAAATTCTAAACGTTTTAGGAATAATTACCCGATAAAATGTAAAAAAAGCTTCAATTTCCTATTCTATACTACACATCATGAGATTGTTTGAGATGTTTATTTCAGAATTAACATATTATCATGATAGTCGCATTCAAGGCTCTTAACGAACAATTTATTACAAATGTACGGCGATGTCTACAACAAAGAAAAGTTACAATTCTCACAGGGTATTTTCCGATTCTGGGACACTGTCATTAGGCAAGTATTTCAAAATTTCATTATCTAGATCATATTCAATACCTTGATGAAAGAAAACTGACGGGGGTGAGTTTTCATCGGATTTCTTGTCATATCGAAAACCAGAACTGATCTCTATAGCTAAACTTGACTTAATTAACCCAACACGTCCTACACTACGTGGTGCTGGATGATAAATTCTCCCACTTTTAGGTAACATACATAGTTTTCTTGGTGAAAAAGGAACAGATAGTGAAGAACCGGCATATGATAAGAAGTTAGTAGCAGGATATTTACTTTTCTTTATTTTACTTATATCGGAAAGGCTTTCTTCAATCAAATGCGTAAATACAATAGGTACGTCGTCGCATCTGATATAATTAATCTCTCTTCCACATGGCGATATGAAAGGAAATTCTTCCTGATATCTTTCAGTATTGTTAATTCGAATACGTTTAAAGAAGAATTGCAGAAATTTCTTATCTAAAAATAGGAAAACATTCAGAAGGCTGAACTGAAATGATAGAATATACGATACCTATATATCAACTGTTCCATACTGCAGAATATTTTAATTGACTGTGGAATTACGAGATCATTTATAAATATAGCGCATTATAAATTTACAATCATTGCATGTTACAGTACATGATATAATAATTGTTATTAAATATATCATTTATGGTATTTATGGCACGTAACATGTGTTATTTATTTCCACAACCTATACTTGTAAAATAATAAACATTGTAATTGCAGACGGTGCTCATGTAGAAGCCATCACTTTCAATCGATAGTTATAATAAAGTGCGTAGGATTAGAAGTAATCAGCTTCATACGAAGTTCTACGTTTTTATATTAACTTGATCGTGTGTACGATTTCCTGTCTCCTACGCTAGTCAAAAGTACTGTACTCGTAATAACTTAAGCACTGATAATTAAAACTTAATTAATAAATAAATATCTATGGTGTGAAGGGAGTTGCATTTAATCCATTGCAGTACCTTTGTAGCTGGTAACAAAGTTCTTGATCTTGATGTCATCTAAAAACAACTAAAACGGGAAATTATTTAGATTATAACATGACCTATAGAATGCACAAAAATTTATGCAGTTTATTACCAAAATGATGTTACATTTTCGGATGATTACTCTATAGTAAAAACTAAAGCCTTTCTTACTTTAAATTGCTGGTAATAGAAATGGACAGCATATAGTTATGTACTTACTTAGTGCTATAGGGATAGTATTTAACTTCAGAGATATACCATACCGTAAATACTTAATTACTGCGGAATCACTATTTACCGCCTTAACATACCATCATTAATTATACTGTATCACTAAGGAGCAAAAAATTATTCATTGCATCGTACGTACTTTATATTATCACGACGCACACGATGAAACAAAATTAGCTTTACCTGTCCTTGGTGATCGATATAATAAAAATATTCTCGAATTTTTGGGGCTGGAGATTGCCCCTGAACATATAAGCTGGAAAAGGATCGAGTTGCTATGCGAATCTATACAAAAAAGCAGTAGTAAACTTTAAACTTTGTAAAAGCGCTAAATAGATCGCGTACAGAAAGCTGCGAATTGTACTGTTTGACTAACATTTATTACTAAAAAATCATAGCTAATTAGGATAATATAGAATATTCCATGCAGAGCATAGCATACTGATTTGCATATAGCTTAAAATCAATCAATATACAGTTCATACGTGTGTAGAATTAGTATGTGTGCAAGACGGTACATATGCGTACAGTTGTACACGTACAGTACTGTATGTTGCGCATCTTCAGCTTATATGAAAAAATAACGCGATAAGTAATACTTGTAAATTAAATTAATCCGTAAATATTCTGCAGATACTCGTATCAGGCTTAGAGTATTAGAGCTAAAACTATATATTAATTAAAATTAGTCGTTATCATTAAAAAGTAGTGTACAATCTTGGAGAAAATATAGCAAGGAGTCATTGCATGCAGTACAGTATACAATATACTGTTTGTAAAACAGCTTACTTCATTTTTAGGAGAACTAATTTACAGTTAGTCAAAACCATGATCCTTATAATTAAGAAATGAATATGATTAACTGTAAAGTATATAGAATAGTACTTTTACTCAATATAGGACTACATATGTTAAAGGCATTTTATTACTTGAGTACACTACAATACTGTAGTCTCCTGTATATTGGCATACCGGCCCATGCTGAGTAATTAACTAAAGAAGGAAAATTGGACAAGTAGCGACTAGATTTGTCCATGATATCAATCACTGATTAACTATAAACCATAGAACACTACACCATACTATACTTTATAAGCTTGCCATGCAATGTAAGAGTATATATGACAGAACAGCCACACTACCAATGAAATCGAAACATAACTGTATTGACTATCCTCTTTCCATTCCTAGCTCTGCACTATGGACATAGTAAGCGTACATATAAATACAATACTGTATACATATATTTTATTAATTTACTGTTAATTTAAAAGGGTCATTTGAAAGCTGTACTTGATCTAAGCATCGATTATAGTGTATAAATTGATTTATAATCATAATTATTTTAAAATAATTATACCGTACAACTATAAAAATATAGTATACATATATAGCATTACGATGATAAAAGGTACATTTTACCATTGGATTCTTATAATTGTTGAGGTAACTTCAGTCACTTAGGTTCGGCTCAATACTTAACCTTGAAGAAAATGGAGGCACAGCTATAAACTTATGAATCTTAAGTCTGCAAAGGATTGGCACAAGCGGCTGCGATCCGCACAGTGTACTACAGTACAGTACAGTACAGTACAGTACAGTACAGTACTATACGGTACAGTACAGTACTGTGTCTGAGTGGTTATCACTGTACTACATGTACAGTACTGTACTGTATACGCAATTACGTACTATATGATAAAAATTTTTCTGCATGAAATTTTCTTAGGCATTGGGCTGCATAAATACGAAATGAAGATCTCTGCTTGAAACATAGATAGTTATTGTACAGTGCAGCACCGACAAATGACTAAATACAGTGTAGCACATCGGAATAATATGCCTAATAAATATTGAATATTGTTAAAAGTAAAAATTTCGAACTGTAAATTAAGAAATTACTTTTATATGTGCAATCTTGGTCTGGTAGCATAGCAAGCTTACTGATGAATAATATCGACAAGGTCAGAGCTTTAAAAGAACGTCAACAAAACTGGATGAGAGAAAGGGCAAGAGAAAAGGGAAGTAAAAATGATGAGGACTATACTACTGGCGATGAACACCCTTCTAATTTTCAGCCATCTCGATCGAAAACATACCTCAGTGATGTAGGTAACCCTGAGAATTCTCGGTTAAATCCAGCTTCTGTCCATAACGACAGCAGTGCTTTACTAGTTAATTTACACACATCAAATCAGCGTGGTACAAAAGCGTACAGTTCAAATAATTCATCGCATGATTATGAGACTTTAGAGCTAAGATGTGAAGTCCTCAATGCGGAAATTGATAATATTCATGAAAGTATGAGTGAATTATCCTTGAGGCAATCGCTACAAATGAAGACTATCAAAGGTATTGAAATTGAAAAGGAAACGATCAGAGACAAGATTGCCCAACTTGAAAAACAATTGCAGGATAAAGATAATGAAATTCTTCAATGCACAACAAAGTTCGAAGATCTGGAAGTAGAACGAAGTAAATATGCTACTAAAATTGAACTCATCGAAAGGACCCTTACAGAGCTAGAAGCAATAAAAGCCTCCATAAAATCAACGTCGCGCTAAATATAAATGTAGCTCTAGATACGCAGGACGTTACATTCGTTCCATTGACGCTTATTTTATAGGTATTCTACAGTCATACGAGTATTTGTACTATGGTATTCCACAGGAGCTCCTTACTAGTGCGGAGTCAGTTGAAGGAGCATAGTAAATCATTACAATGCCAAAGAAAAAGGTTTTAATTATTAGAGCAAATTTAGAATTAAGAAAATTCAAATTCTTGATGCGTTTACTGACTACAGACATCAGATAGTGTTACAACCCGAAAAGATTCTACATTAACGTAATTGACTGACTCTTTGATGGAAGTATACGTATACTGTTATAAATGTAGCAGTACCTGCATTTAATCGATAACTGCAAGTATGCGGACTTTTTTTATGTTTATACTGTTAAATTAATTGTATATAATTATACGTAGTTAGAATTGTTAACCAAGTTCGTTACACGACTAATAATATAATGTTTATTTTACAATTTTTTAACTTTGATTACTCTTTTAATTTTGTCACCTTATATGATGCCCTAATTAGGCCTGTCAGCGGTTCGGTTACTGTATATCAGAAGGATAGTGTTCCATTTCAAAAAAGGCATTAAGACCTGATTCCATGTTAAATGGCAGCAAATCTCATTTCAGGAGTTCGATCATATGTATCATATCACTATTAATGAGTATTTGCTGTATATCTATAGGATTGGCGGCCGTTCAGTTCTGAGAAAACCTAAATTTTTCTCAGATTCGGCCTTATCTCGTAATATATCGATGCTGCTATGCACGTTAATACTTGGAGGTACAAATAGAGTTAATTCTTTTTGGTGGTAGCGTTTATGAGTGTATAGTAGTGAAATTTTAAGGCATACCTTTTAGGTACGTATTGTTGGTTTCTATCGAATAAAGAAAATAGATAATTTTACACTAGTATAACTTTAGCGTTAAAATCAACGGATATTACCATTAAGTCAACAAAGTACGGCATATCTAATGTGCCGATATAAGTTATGAGACGCTAGATCATATTATATCAGTACTCATTTAAATGTAACAGGATGAATGTAAATAAGATTATAACGTGCTGTACCTTATTTTAATCCGTATTTCAACTCAGCGCGTAAAAGTTGGTGTTAAATAAAACTAATAGACATACACCCTCGTGCTATTGTTTATAAATCATTGATCATTTTATTACATTAATTGTAACATGTAAACCATAATTCTCGAGACATTAACTGAAATAAAATCATCACTACCGTAGGGTTACAATAAACTCATGATAACTCAGTAAAGAGGCTATAAGCTGCCATTGTCCCAATTCCTTATTTAGTGATAGTATCCAAATATAATACATTAAATTATTGTATTTTAAAGTATCTTAAATGTATTGTACAATCAGCTAATATTCTGCAATAAGGTAAGAATTATAAATTACAAGATTTTAGCTGTTTGACCAGATTACGCAGGTCATCATGTACTCCAATTAGTTATATTGCTTTAGAAAATAGGTGACAAGTATGACTCTAAAATATATATAGGCCATTCCGAAGACAATTTAAATCAAAATTAATTCTAGGTTAAGCAATAATTAAAATATATCAGTAATTCACACAGTAACAGCTAGCTGTTACGAGACAAGATTCCAGCCTTAAGGATTTCCTTCTATAGAAAAAGATGAAATTAATAATTTTAAAACTGATTTATAGTGCGAGTCTTCAGAATAGAATATGACACTTTTGTCACCTTATTGGCTAGAAGAGACTTAAGGGCGACTTCATGGACATTAGGATCCCACTTCTTGAACCTAGAGTAAGTTAATTATCTCTTAGATAATTATAATTAATAGATATTTGACTGCAGTTCACTATACACATTACACATTAGTAAAATTCAGTATTACGAAAACGGAACATAACACATAACACATTACTTTATTGCGTGAGGGTCATCAGAATCATTATCAAATAGTCGTCTTCTTCCTTTTTCGATCGATTGTGCAACTTTCTGCTTAAATCGATGAAATTCACTTTCGTATCTATGGGATCAATATAACATCCTTAATCTTAAATTGGCACTTACGAACGTTAGAAAGTGGTCCATTCAATTGAATTTTTGCAAAGAACATATAATCATTCAGAATGTCTTACAGATATGCTGCTTCACTATTGACAGCATTTTCGGTGTTTACTCTATAAAATATTTGCTTGATATGTAACAATATCTGGTATAAATGATTGCGAGGGCTGCAAGAAATTTAAGGTATACCATAGTTCTATTAGTAGGCAGTATCACTAAAATGAGTAACTGATTACAAAATATCTAAAATGACAGACAATAACAGACTACATTATCTTACCTCCATTCCGGAAAACTTTTCTTTAAGTACAGCTCGCCTGTTTCCGGGTTAACATCAGGGTGATATATCGGATTGGTAAAAATAATTTTCTAGATTATGGAAGTATGATTGATATTTAATAAACTATTTTATCATATCATCAATATCTCAGAAAGTGACATCGCATCGAGCATATTTTGATTTCTAACCGGGCAGTTACCATAAGGAAAATTTTGAGGAATCAGGATATCAAATTTAAAAACTCCTTCAATATATACACCATGTCTAACAAATACAACACCATGCCAGCCTAAGGTATTTGTAGACATAAGAAATAGTGGTTAAACGTATTTTGAAGTAGTTTAAAATCAACGTAGTAGCAAAGTTACTGGATTAATCAGTATCAGCTTACAGAACAACTATAGAGTTGTTAGCTAATATTGTAATCTTAATTCTGTCATAAAATTATTGGACACTTTTGTGATTCCAAAGAAGAATACGTATGTTGTGAATTTACTTAAAGCAAATGTCAATTTGTCCGGCGGGTTCGCTGCAGAAATCTACATCGTAGTTAATTCACTGTTAAGTACTGTAAGTTGTGCCATCGCTATAGGAATACAGTACAGTATGCATAAATACAAATATGCGTATGTTGTAGACATGCGTGTACACTCGTATACTGTAATGCGTACGTGGTAAAGGTTTTGACAATTTAAGAAATTAACAGATAAAACTTGCTAGTAGTGACCAAGTATCGTTAATGGTAATTATGATTGTAACAACGTGGAATCATTTCAATATGTCTTTACAATGAAATATTATAACTCTTCAAATACTAATAACCATTTGATAAACGGCAAATTCAAGGCTAAAACGTATCATTAAAGTATGGTACTTACATAGAGGATTGTGAGCAGAGGGAAGAACAAATACTCCAGTGAGATTGTGTTTCGATAATTCTTTGCTAATAAAAATATTATTAAATGTATCAGTCAAATTCGAGATAAAATTTTGCCGTTAATCTACGCCAATCATGCAGTAATACCGTATAAGTACAAAAGAAACCTAATATAATGTTAATTTATAACTGATACGGGTTATAAAATATCAAATACTGTATGACTATCCAGGAGGATAAGTTACTGTTATAGTGCATTTAGCAAGTAAGTTAGTCAGATCCAAGACAGTGGAGCACCGTATACAATGATTGGATCGGTATTTAGAGCAAATAGTCTAACTTTACTTGAAGAGGTACTGGTAAGGATGAGGAGAGTGTATGTTAATTAGTTACAGCCTACAAGCCAGAATAGACTAGCTATACAAAGTAGTAACAGTACATTATACTACTCCTGTACTGTACTGTATACTGCAGTACATGGATAATTATAATTCGAGAATCGCAAAAAAATGCTATTGATTAGAGTGATATATTAATGTCATGCTGCACTGTATAATGTAGTACAGTATGTAGTTAAAAATAGCTCAGAACAAAACATATACAGTATCTACAATACGTACTATTCGAATAGTAGCATTTGCTCGATGAAGAATGGGCCATGGATTTGTGTTGACGTATCTGCAACGTCTGCGGCTTGAGGAATAGTCTCTTTTCGATCGCCGTCCTTCAAGTGCGATTCCGTAAGATTTCGATTATTGAAAGACATTCTAGATATCAGTACTTACTACCTGCCACCTACGAGATAAGAGTAATGAATACCACAGTATTAAAATTATGTTGTCGGTTATATAGATTAGTAAAGTAAATAAAAGATATTTCATCTTGATACAATAGTATAGTATTTTTGTATTTTTAGGTGAAATAATTCGAAATAATATATGTATTAAAATGGTGTATTGCACTCTATCTACCGAATAAATTCAATACTGTGGTAGAAGAACTCTTTGTAGCCGTACGAGATCTCTAATACAGTAGAGTACATCCTGAACTATAGAGAAAGATTTAAGGGATTAATTTACAAATTACTTACTGAGTGAATACAGTAGTTTTAAGTATGATACTGTATATAGCTTTTTGCATTTTAATATTGACAGGGTAGATAATACGAAAGATTTCCTGTAACTTGCATTGGTATATTACATATGATCCCACACTAGTACAGCACACGCGAAATGAGATAATAAAAAGGCTATTAAAAATTACTTACGTTGTTTAACATTTATAAAGAAAGCCGTATACTGTACTACTTTGTAGTATAAATCTTTGGGAGTTGGAGACGATGCGGACCGATATTTGAAATTGTACTTTACCCCTAACTCTACGATAAATTCATTTTTATAGCAAAATAACTACAGTTCTGAATAGAGTGTACGTACACTCGTACAGTAGCTAAGAACACTACTCACAAGTCTACCTACAATACTGTACTGTACAGTACTATACAGTACACCGTACAGTGTACAGTACATTGTGATACAGTATACAGTACTGTACTGTACTGTACTGTACTGTACTGTACTGTACAGTGTACAGTACACACTCTTACACTACGCAGTTCAGTAACAAAAAAGGAACGTATAGTGTGGCAGCAGCAGTGAGTCTCTTGCTAACAAAACGAAATCAAGTCGAAAGGATGGCTGCAAATACAGAAACTTCACCTCTGAACGATTGTGCAAGTGATGAGGAACAGGCATTGAGGGACGTTGAATGGCAACCGATCGCAGATCGACTAGTGAATGCTAATTTATGGCTTACTGCACTAGAATTACACACGGAACTGATAGAAAATGGTATCGAGCTACCACGCCTAAGAGATTTCTTTTCTAATCCTGGAAACTTTGAAAGACAGAGTTTCCCGAAAGAGCCTGCCAATATTTGTAAGAATATGGAATTATCTATCTTGATTTTAGGAATAACTCTATTATTGGTGCAGTAATGGCAGATAGATAGTGATATTTTTAGTGTAGTGGCTTTTATGCTTTGCTACTTTCGTAAATTTACATCTGATACAGTAGTAGTAAAATTTAGTGCAAAGAGGACTTGCGTATGCACTCTACTAGTACTGACTAAAGTACACTACAGTAGATTTTATACTACTTAACAATAATTATAACTATATACTGTATATATATATGTATATAATACATTGATAACGTGGTGTAACAGTGATAGACTTTCATATGTGAAGATTCAAAGGAAAAAAGATATTGCAATTACCATGCAGCATTGTTAATTATGACAATTACACCATAATAATAACAGATGAATGCTTATGTATAGTAATAGTATCTACTATTCAACTATGGCGGAATTTATTGCCTATTTATAAAATAGTTATTTGATATATGCTGTACAAGCATCCACATCAAGATAAAACGTAAACTAGTAATTGATAACAGTGCTGACTAGAAAGCCTTGCCCAGTAACTGTTGAAATTTCGTAATCCGAACGGTTCTGCACATAGCTATGGTAGATCAAGAGTAATTTAAATTAAAATCATGCAAGCTATATTTGACGCGTCAGTCATTCAATCAATGATGTAGTATTATCATATCACATCCCGTACGAATGCATAGCATACAGCACTATCCATAATTTTATGTACATGTACATTATGATGACATAGGTAGTTCTTATCTAATATACTCGTACACTGTGGAAGTTATGATAGTTGTAGCTTACGAACTATCGACTATGCCACATGTTGATTTAGGAATTGAATATTTATAACTTAGTAATCAAGAAATAACAATACTCTTACAATTCTGTCTATGACTCAAGTGCTTAACTCGCTACTATGTTGGCCTCGTCATGCGGATATGCGATTCCGATTACGAGAAATTATCGGCGTAGTTAGCCCTGAGTTTATTTGAACTATGTGTACTGTACGTAGTTAGTCTTGTAGAACACATAGTTCATGAGAATTGTTATCTTCACAAAAGTAGTAAGTTGTACATTAACCTATCCTATCTACGAGTTTCATTAATGTAATCAGAATTATTTAAGGATGAAAGCCCTTAGCATTAATACTAATATTTACTTACTTCGGTGATGCCATTTTTAGCACCCAGTCAAAGTATAACGACGCTAGATTCTGTGGAACTAACTAGATATTCTGATGATGGTGGAAAGTATCCGGAGGACCAAGTAGCAGGTATTCTAGCGTAATGACTATTTCCTCATTGATTTATAAGATATTCTGAATTAGGTAACCCATTATTCAGTGATCGTTATGTTTGTTCTATTCTATGATTCGATAACGTGTATTCATCTAGTACTTGAATTTGAGCTTCGTAAAGCCCAAGATACTATAAAAGCTTTACGGGGAAGTCTAACCATGGCAACCGGTAAATTACATTATGTGTATTTTGTCGTAGCTTAATCCCTATAAATTAATGATTTATTATAAATTTCGGTATATTTGGCAAGGTTTTACACTTTTACAGTTTTTATCAATGTACGAATAAAAAGGTCATTTTAAGTGCGGGCAATACTTCTTAAATTTTCGTAGATATCGATGTATCGTAGTGAACTTTTAAAAAATTTAATACATCTTGGTATCCTATAACTACATCCTTCATGATTGATTTTATGTGCTGTGTGAGTTAATGAGTATCTCTAACTTGTATGTTTATATTTGTAGAGGGACAAACTGAAGGTAACATGAAAGAAAAGAAGCAGGTCATCACTAAAGATGATATTCCAAGTGTAGATGTAAGTATTTTTCTGTGGGTCTTTAAATATCACCCATTAGTAAAGAGAAAATAATATTTCATATTTTTCTATCAACTAACAAAATATCATATTTAAATGAATATATTTATTTAGCTTGAAAGTAAAACTATGATATGTATGGCTCCTCCATTTTGTATCTATTCTAACTAGCAAAAGCTTTTCATTTTAAATAACGTTAGGAACCTATTCTACCGCACGAAAAACGCGCCTTAAATTATTTAGTTAATGAATATCTATTAAAGCAGAATTATCGTTTAACTTCAATTACTTTTACGGACGAAAATGATGATCAGGTATTTGTAAAATAATCTCACTATGATTTTATAGGTGTTATATTAGATTTATTTTAAGACATTTTAGATGATTTAGTTGGATTTATTTTTTGCTAATTGCTCCATAGGATTTTGAAGATTGGGATGACGTAGGATTGAATGTTCCCAAGCCACCTGGTCTACTAGCTATGTTTCGTGGAAGTGCTATGCCAGTAATGCCAAACGAAGAATTTGAAAGAGAAAAACAAATGTTAAGAGATGAGATAAATGCGCTGGTATGTTAATAATAATGTACTATTGGATTTCTGTAAGACTTACGTTTGCACCTCAATGAAAGATACTGATATCTTTACAAGGAAGTTAGCTTTATCATGTTTCTATCCGAATAACTTGATAGGACACGACACGGACATCTCTAAATGAACAGTTGCAGTCCATTAACAATGTGAATGAAAATCTACAAATTAAAAATGAAGAAATGGAACAGTATGTCAGATTACACTTATTATACTGTATAAGAATAGTGGAAATCTTATCTTTAATTAGTACGAAATCATGTTAAACATATTTTAGAATCGCAAGATTTAATTAAAAATACTGCATAATTGTAGGGTAATAGTTCAGTTAAAGAATGAGCTGGATGAAGCTAGGAGGCAACCTTCTCCACCTATTCAAGAGATTCAAGAAGAACACATCTTAAATAATAATATTACAGAATCACAGGAGGAAGAGTTTACGTCTAGAAATGAGCCGGAAGAAAACGAGAGCGAAAAAACCACTCATAATGATATAGAGTTCGATCAGCCCGAGGTCGTTACAGATGATCGTTCAATTGCTGTAGAGCAATTAAATGCAGAAATTGAGCATACAGAAAACCAAGATGCAACGACTGAAAAAGTGGAGCTATCTACTGACCAAGTATGGAGCTACAGTAATATAAATTGTTTTGGTATTTAGAAGAATCTTACTAAAGATTATAAATTTGATCTTTCACGCTAAGGAGGAAGTCTCACAGTTGGGAGAAGATAATAGTAGAATATTTGATCCCAAAAATGTCATATCGAAACTACTAGATAGGTAACTATTATAATATCGAATTTATTAAATATTTCATGCAATTTTATTACGCTTGATAACTAACCGGAGTTATTGTCCCCTAGTAATCCAGAAAAGATGTCTACTGCCTTTTTGATACTCTTACGGTCTATGGTATTAAATATTAAGGAAGAAGAGGATAGGCTTACTTCAGAAGTGAGTACTTCATTATGACATTGAACCTTGCTTAATATTAATAGCTATATTCGTTTATGTCATAGATTTGTAATATCGAAGATACCGTTGAAAGTGCAGTCGGATTATTAACAAGGTGTTTACCCTTCATTGTTCCTAATGTCTTATTAAATAAGAGAGACGTAAGTTACTATCCACGCCTTTTTAACTATCATTTGTCTATATTACTCTGATACAGTACTGTATAGTTTGATAATTTCTTCATACATTCACTATTTAGGAATTACTCCCAATGATATTGTTTGCTACTATTCAGCAAACCGATAAGAATGAGCGCGATAAGTTATTACACATGCTTTTTAATTTAATAAAGAGACCTGAACAGCTTCAAAGGTATTTGTTACATTTACAGCGCTTTCGACCCTTACTTAATGTTAGCGTCTACTTTAATTGATTTGAGTACTAAAATTACGTCACAACTAGAAAAGTAATAATTGAGGGTTGTGTGGCATACGCAAAGCATGCGGGACCGGGTCGAACTGAAGAAGAGTTACTTCCACAGTGTTGGTTACAAGTATGGTGTTCACTCATGTCTACTTGAAAAGTGTAAAAAATTTAATATTTGATTGTAATAATGTATATCCATTACAAACAACTAGATTGATCATAAATTCCATGAGCGTAGATTGTTGGTGATTGAGGCCTGTGGTGCTCTTGCTTCTCATTTATCGGTAAAAACTTATTTGTTAAAATTTTAGAAGCGATATGAAATGTACGTTATTTCTGCATTTAAGAAACTTATAGTCTAATCGCCTTGCACATAATTATTAGGAGGAAATTACAAGCTCACTTATTTTGTCAATGCTTAAACAAATGTACTTCGAAAACAAATCTCCAGAAATTAAGGAAGCTATTGTTAAGACATATGGACTACTAATGGCTTACGTAGTGAACGAAGATAAATACGAGCAGGTAAATTCTGAAAATCTGAAAATTTGTATTTAATGAGAAATTTCTTATATTGATAATATACTTAATGTAATCATTTTAGAGTTTTGACGTACTCATGGCCGCAATCCAAGATACATCGGAAAGTGTTATTAATGCAGCTTTAGAGATATTTCTTCCTTCGCTAGCTATGTGGGCCTATCAGTTAAATCTCTTAGAAGTTCACATGATTGGTACTCTAATTAAGACAGTAGAAAACATGATCCTAGTAAGTTACCTTTTTGCCTAAAGTTTTGTATCATCACAGAGATTTTTACGAAAGAATTTTGTTTTATAGACTGCTCCATTACCAGATCAATTGGATGAGCAAAATTCAGCTACAAGTAGATTTGAAAATCGCTTAGATCATGTCATTAAGGCTCTCATTAATCTAACTCCAGCAATGTATGCTATGGTTTTAAAATCAGGTATTTTGAATGTTAGTAACGAACATATGTATGAAATTGTCTACATTCCTTTCTGAATCATCAAATGTCAACGTGTTACTTTGTTAGCTTCGTTTGCAAGTGAAGTGGACCTCGACGACCGCGATAGTTACGGTAATATCTATATTAGTTCCAGTAAGCGTAAATTTATTTTACATCGATTACGATTTTTCATTATAGAAATTGATCAAAGTATTAGCGCCAGGCTAACCGACCTCGATGTTATTATTGGTAGTAAAAAGCTAACAAAGTCACTCCATGATAAATTTAACGAATTAATGCAAAAAAATGACGACGAAGAAGTAGAGATTTGGAATGCTTTGAAGTGGGTTATGGATGACTAGTAAGTTCGTGAGCGCCGTTACAGTACATTCATTTACTTATGGATAGTACTCTTCTAAAACAAGTGAAATTTTTACTTTGACAATTATTTTTTGCGTTACTACATTTACAGCTTACCAAGACTTATGGCAACGTTAGGTATTCATTAGTAATCTTTGAAGATTAAAGATAATGAGATAGATATATTTATAACATTTAATTCTTATATACTGTCCTTTCCAAGGATCGCTTGATGTGTCCCTTTGGAAGGCTGTAAATTCCCTTTCGAAGTTACTGAATGTCTTTTGCAGAACCTTTGGCCGCGGCTTCACCGAAACAAGAGTTAAAGCTAATTTTAAAGTTATGCTATCTCCCGGTATGATGATGACCAGTTTAGATATTCTTATGACAATTTTTGTTTAAAAATTTGTTATTGAGCAAAAATCTTAAATTCCAGGTGCTGTCGTTTCTGATGGTAGATGTTCCTTGGCGACAAGCGTTATGGCTGCATACGCTATTGGTATACTAACTGCCTTTACAGAAGTAGGTGACAACATGATATAGATTATTGCTTTTCTAGTAATCAACTATGATAGGAAAAAGTTTATTATATTAGATGTTATCAACAGTTAAAGCCATCTTATTTTACATCTGTGTGATTGTATTAACGCGTTTATGTACTTTGTAGATATCTGATCGAGAGGAGCTCGCCGCATTTTTAAAAGAAACCATATTTTACTTAGGAGAAAATAATATCTCCTTGGAGAGTGTCAAAACTACATTTATTAACTTGGGGTAATTTTTGTTAAAGTAATATCAATTGCGTCATAGTATCCCCTTTCATGCGTTTGTTGAAATCCTAACTTCACTTTAGCAAAGATCATGATTTACATGAATTTCTAATCAACATCTTATGGGATGCTGTCGTACATACGTCTCCGGTCGTGCGAAGCTATTCTGCTATACTCTTGAAGGTTTGTTTAACAATTTTTATTGAATTTTAGAAATGTTGCATTCATTAATGCCGTCTGCAAATCTTTAGATTATCGCCGGATATTCAACGGAAGAAATCCTATCAAAACAAATTGTTCCTGCTTTGATAACATTAGGGACAGACCAACACTCGTAAGGCCTCTAACAAACGAATCGTTATTACGTAGAAATTACAAATGAAATTTCCTTACCGCAATAACCAGTTAAACAAATCTGTATACTTTCGCAGACAAGTAAGACTTGCAACCGTTTCAGCGTTTGGCAGCATTGCTGAACGAGTATCAAAGAACGAAGTACGTATAGTAACATTGGTGCTAGATACATTATGTACATTAATTGAGTTTAATACATACGGCTTTGGATCTATACAGATTTTAGAGAGAATTGGCGCTCAGTTTCAGTCATTTTTGGAAGATAACTCCGTGAATTTTTATTATGACATCGTCAGGGAGATTGTTCAATGTTTCTCTCGTATTGGACCTAATGCAGATCCTAGTTTTCGCGACGAATGTATATTATACATTATGATATTGTGCATTACATGTTCCAAATCTTTACTCATATGTTCTAATTAGGAAATCTATTTTTATCAGTCATTTTAGTTAAATTAGTGAAAATAGCAAGCAATAATAATCAAAACGAAAATAGTGCTAAAAGAAAGCAACTGGCCTTGGATTTATTGGATGCTTATAGTGCTTTAACATGTTGCTGTATCCGATTTGATGTTTAATGCATATGATTTTACTTAATATAACATGAACGACTGTTTTAAGATTTTACCTTAACATAGCAGTTTACTCTGATAATGTTTTGGAATCATATGTTTTACCTGGTCTTAGATGTCTTCTCGTGGATATCCAAGCTGTATATCCAGAAAATCAGGTAGGTTTATTATTTATCATAACCAAAGAAAGATAATTTTTTAGTTTTAGACACAGATATTCATTAAAAGATTTTAAAAAACCAAACATGTAGAATGTTATTGAAGCCATGATAGATGACTGCGAAGCAAAACTAAGTACCAGGTATCAAAGTATAGTTACGTTTGTCGCAATAAGATTCATTGGTTAGCATACAGATAATTATATATATTTTAATTACATTACCTTTTCTTAGCAATATTAATCAGGAAACGGTAGCAGCTGCAGCCGTAAAAGAGGATTCGCAAAATAATTTCTTACAGAAGATCAAAGAAAAACGTTTCACTGGCAAAAATGTTGCCCAAATGTTCTCAAGGAGGCAATAGTAATTATCACCACTAACAAGGTATGAAATTAAATTTTCGTAAACTGCCTGTTAAACTCACAGTATAGCTAACTATTTAACGTAATAAAGTCAAAATACATCATCAAACTTACGTGAATTCTGTCTGTTATTAACTAATACATCTAATTTGCTTGACTTATGTATTATACATTTCGTGAATTGTCTACTGCTAATTAATAATTGACTAAAGCGCAGTATCATTGGAGGAATGATTCCATAATTTAATTTGTAGTTTCTTCTACATATTCTGACATTTTGTGATTCTGATAAACTATAATTATATTACTGCAATCACAATTTCTGCAAGACAAATGAAAACTACATATTCTCAATGCAAACATTTTTACTATTTTAAATTACAGATCGATGATTTGGCCTTCGATATCTTGATTATGCAAAAGTTATAACAATAGAAGTAGTATTAACTTAATACGAAGTCTATATACTTCTTGTGGCTTTATCAGCTTGACAGGAAAAACTGTTCCATACGCCCGTCAACAACGACCAAGTCGCTCAAACTTAGTTTACATAGAGTTTAACGTCGTAATAGCAAACTCAGAATAAATTAAATTGGTGGTATTAATAACTGTCGGCTAAAACGTCAAAGTTTATCCTTATACCCGTTTGAAATGATCTATGTTAGTGGTCTTTGCGGTATATCAAGACGAAGACAGATCGTTGAAGCAACGAGTATACTGTACTTATAATACCGATAAGTTATAAATGGCGATTTGGAAGAAAGAAATACTGTATATAGTATTTTAGAGTGCTCTGTGAATACTGTAAGCCCTTTATTGATCTCAAGGAAGGTTTAAGCTGGACGTTAGCTATTATGTATCATTGTAGACGCCTTTAAGTTATGGATCTTTAAATACTTTGGTTTAATCTGCCATGCTATTTTGTTGTTTTACAATACTATCAATTCGATCATTTCATTTTGCGATATCAAGATAATCTAGACTTTATCCTGCTATAATACAGTATATAGCATATTTTATTGCGTAATTATGCACATTTAATGTCGGACCGCGAAGCTTTTAGCGTTCTCCGAAATGTTGCAAATTATAATCTAGATAATATAAAGATTATGTGCCGTTGAGATCTATACAATACACTGCAAACTATTTTAATACTACACCTATGCCTGTATACTGTAAATATTTTATCATTCCGTATTTCTTAAGCATAGTGAGGCGTTAACGTCTAGTATCTAACATGTATATTGTAACTTAAGCAATATATAATGTACATTGACTGTAAGTCGTAAATAAATTAGAAGACTATATTTAACACTTACTTTGCGCAGCATTTCCTTCAATTGCGTATACTGTACAGCGCAAATAATCTTAATGGTCATTGCACTCGTACCTAAGGTTGTTAATTCATATCCTAATTCAAGCGGCTCATTTCCGCAACATTCAGAATACACAAGATATAAGATTTCTGTTAAGGCAGCGTTCTTAGATAATCCGTAGACCGACAAAATGCGAAGTTTTTACGAATCTAGCTTATACGTGAAGAACTTGTAAAATTTTTAACCAATCTAATCTTAGATAAAAGGGAAATTTTCATATGCAGTCAGATCCCTTAATTCATACCACCTAAAGGCAGTGATCATTGGAATGATGGATTTCTAGTTACCATCACGTACAATTGATAACTGCCTCCATAGTATAGATATCAAAAGATAACATATTATGATATTATCCTACAATAAACTGTTTTGAGAAATTTATTATGGGTCGGCAATATCAGATGATTCACTGCGCATTGTTTATCAAGTCACTGTAACTGCAACGAACTTTATTAACAACAATTTCATTACGTATCGACAGATATTAGCTACATAACCATAGTCATAACATGTTTCGTTAACAATAACTATTTAACAAAAATTTCTGAAGTTCTAGTTGAACGTGATCTGTCAGCTACAGATTCTTCAATTCAAACATGAAATGAACAATTCTTACAATATCAGCATGTGAGTTATGAAAAGAAATCTACTCAAATTCATTGGATTATAAATATACAGTGGAAATGTGTATACTATTTTAATCAACAGCGAAAGAATAATCTTCTTTAAAACTGTCGAGTTCATAATTAATAAAAGATGTAACTCTCAAAAAGTGTTCATATACTGTATACTTACAGTTCCATAAGGGGTATTAACTACGATTAAATTTCACTGAATGCGCTTGATCATCCATGAAGAATAAAATATATCAGAATTTATGTGGTGCTGTAACATAGCAACTCTTACTGTTGATTACTAGAGGGGGCAGTTTGAGCTTGATAGATAGAACTATTAGCGACCATGTAAGGATATTGTGACTGATAATTAACTTGTGGTTGCGAAACTCCGTACATAGAGTTGCCAACATTAAAATTGACAGCACTAGACACTGTCTGAGCGGAAGAATTAGGATAGTATTTATTACTAGAAGCTACAGAACTACCACTAGAAGGGGTATAGGACATATTGGTATTAGCTGGATAATTCCATCCGGATGTGTTTGTAGTATTAGTTGTCTGCTGTGTAGCAACTTATAAAAGTTTAAAGAAGATATAAAATCATATAAGATTGCAAGTAAAACAAGTTTTTTATGTATAAATTATTTATCATTAACTTAAAACCTTGACGTACCTATTGCAGTTTGTGCTGGAGTATGGCTAGTAAATTTGCTGGAAGACATACTTTTATCGTGAAAATCACTGGGACGATTATGCTTTGAGAAGCTGTTACTACTAAAGTTAGATGTAGCTTTATAGTTTGCACTGAAACCGCCATGAGAATTATTCATTCCATAGGAATTATAAGAGCCAGATAATTTCGACTTTGCGTAAGGATAACGATTACTGGCATTCCTATCACGATTATAAAATCGATCTCGGCCTCGCATTTTACCTATGCAACAAAATTTTACCTTGTCATACTATTACAAACAATATCTATTATATTAACCTCTACACTTACCACGATGTTTCTGAGCCATTTCCGCTCTAGCTGCATCTCCTAACTGAATCAGGTCAGGGTTTATCGGTTGATTAGCTTCACGGAGTAACGCTATAAGATTTGGTGATTGCCTAATATTACTGGCAGTAAAAAAGGTATAAGCAGTTCCCGTTTTTCCGGATCTAGCGGTCCTGCCGATACGGTGTACATAATCTTCTGAGTTATTTGGGAAATCGTAATTAATGACGAGTTTGACATCACTTATATCTATTTTCCGAAATAAAATTTTTTTTTTAATTGCCAATCCGTCCGGTAATATACCGTTAATCCACCTCATAATGACAATATATATTCTCAAACAGGAACCAGGTATCATGACACTCTCTATTCAGCAGCACTTCAAAGGACCAACTTTCGAGAAAGCTGATGTCACTTGGTAAGCAAGTCGCTTCAGAAGTTCATCTCGCGCTCTCAAGGCTATTACTATACGAGAATATATCACCAATCAAATGTATTGTATTTTTAATGTACGTTCAATATTTTAGTTAAAATTATACATTTATAACCTTGTTTCGCAGCAATAACCGGCAGTCTTAACCTTGGATGTTATTAATAAGTAAATTGCTCTTTCGTAATTAAGAGGTTAGGGTATTTAAAGACAAAAGTCTAAGCAATATGCAACGAAAAACGACTTTACAGCGAGAGAGCGCAAGAAAGTCCAAAAAAATCCTGCAGGAACCAACATTTATGCCCGGTTCATCAGATTACGTGTCATGATCTGGATCCCGATAAAACGACTATGCACTACAGTATGGCTATAGCAAATCTTTCAAGCAATATGGTAACGATGAACAAGGAAGATATTCAACGAATTAATAATTATCGCGTTACGATTAAAACTGACCCAATCCTCTTGCAGCCACATCAGTAGCAATTAAAACAGGGATTCTACCAGATCGAAATTCTAAGATATTGCGAGATTTAGTCTTACTTTTTAAGCGGAAATGGTATCATATCCAGGTCACAACTGATGTAAGAAATTTAATTACAAATCTAAAGAATTTTATTTACCTGACAGTACACGATCACGCTCAGATTGGCACTTATCACCGTGAATGCACAAGACCGGCCAACTAAAAATAAATTCATAGCTGAGTATAACGATCTATAGCTAAGTTTGTAAACGTTAAAAAAAATATCATCTCAACTTACCCGCTTCTAACAAGTCTTCTTGACAAATAATCTGATTTTTTCTTGGTTTCAACAAAAACGATAGTCTGTACAATAAAATTACTCAAATGAATATTGAATATAGAGACACCATGTTTTTACTCCTAAGGAAATCCACTTAAACAGTTTAAGCTTGATATTTTCGATTAAATTCAAATTATCATACCTTCTTTTCATCTTGCCTCAGAATATCACTTAAAAGTTTACACAACCTAGGAAGGTAACAGTGAGTAATTTAAGCTATCAAATTGTATCGTGTATGTCTAACGTGTAAAAATTACTTGTCTTCCTTTTCTTCTTCCCGGCAAACTTCTACGATTTGCTTAATATTATGATTAGTTGTAAGATCTGAAGATCCTATGTTGATTTGTACATAATCCCTCAGGAACTCTCTCGCTAAAGCTAGATTGTAAAAATAATTATTCAATAACGATAAACTCTTAGTGCATTAAGTTTCGAATTTGAATAAAAGGGTGTTTTTACTTCGAATCTCTTTAGGCCAGGTGGCACTCCACATAACGGTTTGTCTTGGACACTAATGCAAAGACGAAATCTGTTAAATTTCATGGGGGAGCACCCATTGAGTATTATTTAGAATTAGCACCTTTATAGAACCAATAATTTGCTTAATTTGGGGTTCAAATCCCATGTCCAACATTCGATCGGCTTCATCGAGCACCTTAGTTCGAAGATACGTATTAGCACATCTTATAAAGTTGTCACTAACGCGGCATCATATAAATTAATACTTTAGAAGGTTTACAGTACTTCTTTTAGCAATTTATCTCGAAACGTTGAAATATTTGTTAACTGTAACAATAGATGATTTCAGCAAGCTCAATAATACTGTAAAATGCTTGTTGCCATCTAGAAGGATGTACAACTTACCAGGTAACTACATCGATTGAGGTTCGTTCTTCTTGACTCTAAGAAATCTAACAGCCTACCAGGTGTAGCTACACAAATTTCAACCCCTCTGCTCAATTCGCGAAGTTGAGGTCCTTTAGGAGAACCACCATAAATACAAGCACAGTTGATTCTAGCCAATCTGCCAAAAGTCGTAGATACACTGTGCACCTGCTGTGCTAATTCCCGCGTAGGGCATAAAATTAAAGCCTACGAGAGTTTAAATGATATGAAGATAAGAACTTGATGGAGCAAGGTAGCAATTACAGTTCTCAATCACAAAACTCACAATAGGACCATCACCATGTCTCAGTGGCGGTTGATTTTTAATGTGGATGATGCTAGGCAAAACATACTATTTCATAAATGGTAAAAATATTTAATCTGACGTAATAAGCATAAAATATAATTAAAATATTTACATACGTTACTGATAACGTTTGTCTACTGTATGTAATGAACTTACGGCTAGAGTTTTTCCTGATCCTGTTTGAGCAATACCAACAACGTCTCGCCCCGATAGTCCTACAGGCCAGCTCTACGTAACAAATTAATACATATTTATGTGGCAAATAGCAATTATAATTACTAACTTCAAAGCATGGTGAGAGAATCAGCAATGTTTGTAAGTGACATTAACTACATGTATTGCCTGATTTAGGGTTATGCAGTTATACAACTTAATATGTAAATATGCGTGTTTTAAACCCTTTAGTAATGACCTGAGCTTGAATAGGAGTTGGAAGTTTAAACCCTTGATTATTGATTTCTGACATTACGTAATCTATAGAAAAAGCAGACAACAATTTTTTGATTGAATTCCAAGACCTCTTTACATATACATGAGTAAAAAGGGTTAATTTATAAGTCAAGCATTGATATCTGCGCATAATGTATGGATACTATAAACAAGATATATTTTTAAACAGAAAAAAAAACTATTCATGATCTTCGATAGTCAAGTACAGAGTTTACTAGATAGTTACCAGGAAAGGAAGCTTCACTAAAAGACAACACGGGCTTGGGGATATTCCTTCCAAAGACGATAATTTTATTATCATCTCGATAACGCGACACTTCTTCCTACACATACAAAGGAAGTTCATCATCAACAGAACCAGTTGTTAACATCAATAACTCAAATGATACACTCACTATACAAGTAACGTAAAGATATTTTATAACGTGAGTGAATCAATCATAGAAATAACCTCTACGCAATTAGTATACACTATTATCATTTCGCTGTACTAACAGTAAGATATTGTTTCTAAAATACTTTGACTAAAAAAATTGTCGAGACTGTCGTTCGAACATGCATTACATTTTAGTCTATACTACGCGTATACTGACTGTAGTGTATCCAATTACCGTATATGAATCGTGCTTACAATCGGCTACAGTAATGAGCTCTGAAGTACAGACCGCACCAGCAAATATCAAATCTCTAGTAATGTGCCATCGGACTAGCAACAGCAATTGACTCTTTTACTAGAACAAGATATAAACGTACTGACGGAACTATTTCCGTCATCATAATCCTGAACACTGCAACTAACTACTGCTGTACTGTACAACCTGCAGAAACTGTCCACGGTGTGCGGTACCGTGCATGAGGCTGATGCTCCACATGCACGTACAGTACTGTACACTGTGTATACTGTACCGTACAGGACTTATTAGCCACTTACTTACAAACTAAAATCATGCAATAATTTCCATACTGAGAACTAGCGTTGATTGTCAATATTTGTCATACTATGACTTACAAGAAGAAAGGAAAATTTTGAAATCGAATCATTAACACACGTCGGGTATTCAACGATAATAGTTAATAAGAAACCCTAAAGCAGGGACTCCTGACTGAAGTTAACTTTTCCTCACTTGCAATTACAAACACAGGATTTCTTATTCAATATATAAAACTTTATCACGAAAAGCGATCACATTTTTAGAAATCTTCGGCTAAAAAGTGATCACGTTTGCCCCTCAAAAGCGACCAATAACCGTCCTAATAAGTACTGTATGTACAATGTATGCTACAGCGAAAGCAGAAATTTAGCACTATGCTGCACTCGTAAAAACTATGCGGCAATGCCTTCGAATATCTAACGTATAGTAGTGTACTGTACTGTACAAGCACACAAAGAATCGATAAAGCATCTATCAATCATTCGTAAAATTATGAAGTTCAGCTTTGATACTTTCAAAGTACTTAACATACATAAAATGCGTAATAATTAAGTTAACGCTAAACATTCAATTTCAAAATATAGATATATCCCACTGTGTTACTTTTACGGTACCTCAGTTCTGTTAGTAACTGTATTCTGCTCTGTATAAAAGTTCATGTTGGAAACTGCGTTGTTACCATTCCATTCTCTGCTACTGACGCTGTTATCACGAGATACTCCCTGATAATAATTACTTTTCGATCTGTTTTCATCCCATCTTTATCAAATTTAAAACAATTTTATAAGGGTATAAAATGGTCAAATCATTTCTGTAATACAGTATCCATATAATCCTAAGATCAGATTAGAGTTTCGTTCTTACCTGCTTCGTGAGGCATCCATGTTGCAAGCCAGTGTGATTATATCAATGAAAACTGAAAAATGAACTGACCCAGAATCGGTTATAACGCATAGTACTATACTGTCTCGTATAGCAGTGTCGCACGATGATCATCTACTGTACCACGCTATACCAGTTTTACCGGTGATAGATTCTAGAGTTTCAAAGTCAGTATACTGTAGTAAAAAAGAAAAGAAAAACCGTTTCGACTAGTCAAGATTTACAGTACAGTACTGTACAGTACAATGCAAACTGACAGTTCCGTACTTTCGTACTGTACTCAGTGTACTGTACTGTACAGTATAGACTGTATAGTACTGTATGTGCACATTTTAAAAATAAAATCAAAAAATTGTACTGTACCCACCAGACCTACAGTACTGTACTGTACAGATGTAGAGATAAAAAAGTAAAAAGAAACGGAGAACGAAATTCTTATTACAGCACAGTGTACAGTACGTTGTACTGTACTGTACAGTGTACAGTATTTGACTGATTCCGAATCATCATCACTAGTGCAAACTCCCGTCGCTTTGCTGTACTGTACAGTAGTAGGAGTTCTTATACAGTACAGTATAGTAACTGATGTTAAATTGATTTAGTTATAACGCTTGCGATTAATACCCTGAAGATATTCACTTATAGATGATACCATAAATAATTCTATGAATGGACATACTGTAGTCTAATTAATCATCTAAAATCATGAAGTACATGTTTACGATTATGAATATCTCTATATTAATTTATCTATTCAATATGAACTGAATTTCACAATCTTATGATGACTCATTCAGGATAGCTGCTGCCGAAAGGTATTTTAAGCTCGGCAGATAGCTGAATAAAATGAGAATTCTCTAGTTTGTTCAGCGTTGAAGCAAAGGCGCCTAAATTCTTGTCATATAGTTAACTATCTGACAGGGACACTGAATCCCGGAGACTTTAGTAATTTAGAGATTAGTTGTACGTTATCTTTGTCACGAAGTTGGTTTGTGGCAGTTTTAACACTAAAGTGCAATTATAATTATAGTTGTTCCATACTACAATGGTAGATGACCCGGTCGCTATGCTCAGATCACTGTTCCTAATCTAGTCTCTTTATTGGTATAGTGTATACTGTACACTTATAATATATAATTATACACTCCGATAGTAATGTTGTAGAATTCAAATTGCTAGATTGTTGTAAGGCATGCATTGCTGTACGCACAATATAACTATATGGCAGTAAAATGTAACCAAAGTGCCATATCTGCTCTCATCATTACATTCGAGCATGATCAACGCGTAAACAAGAAATTAAACACCATAATACTGTAATCGTTTTGAGCATAACTGATGACAAACAGTTAATGTACAGTACAATGTACATTATTCTTTAATATACGTATATATATATATATATATTGTGTTTGTACATTTATAGTACATATACAATTGTTTCTATAGTATAATATTATGAGATACAATATACAGTTTCTATTAACATTCAAATACCTAACAGCGCATACGAATATCATATCAACTAATAATGTCAGTATTATAACTCGAAAAGTCCCCAAGATCTGTCACATAGATTTGCCAAGGAATTTCGTAAGATTTTTCTCCATTGCCTTGCGCAAGTTCCTCAATCATAATATCCAGTTCTTCATCCGACATTATAGCGATAAGATCGCCTTCATAATCAATATAATTAAGCGTAATTTCGAATTTACCGATACGCTGGCTAGAAAGTACAGAGGGCAAAATATAGATTCCGTCAGGAAAATTGATATGAACACGTACATCAGCTGTTGAAAATTTTACTGCACTTCAATAGTACTGATCAATTAGATACTCGCACACTATGTGTCGTAGTGATACAAAGGTTCTATCGGCAAAGGCTTACACAATCGTACAATACAATCATATCCGACGTCCAATACAATCGTACGATTTTTAAAATCACAAATTTCTCTACATATTACGTACAAATACGAATAAGTATCGCAAAATAGAGTATGCAAAATTTAAAGAGCTGTGCATACTACTGCCTTTGTGCACCGTTCATTTGGGATTAGTACAAATAAAGGATGTTTCAATCTTACCTTATTACAAAGTTTAGATTAATGATAACATTAGTGTAAATATCTACAGGTGTTTGGTGATCTTAAATATTTAAGCTTTCAACGGGTATAGATAGTAATTTATTTTAACTGTCAGTATAGACAAATGATTACTTTAATGCCATCCTACCTAATTAAGAAAAATAGGTCTTCGAATTTTGGTTTATAAAAAAACTCCGAATTAATTTCAATTTCATTCACGCAACCGTTGTAGTGGTAATTAATAACCCTTACAAAATCTTCATAACTATAATCGATTTCTTCCTGCCAAATAAAAATGGCGTATGAGCGCAAATTAGTGAAAATGTCTACGGCTTATATTTTATCACATAAAACAAGGTGCGCTACGGATGATAACGCGCGCTGTAGAATTAAAATGTATGCCGATATTCAGTAACTGAAGAAGTCTTGCAAACAATTTGCATGTCAATACTGTAATCCTAAATTCTAACTCAACCCTGATATGGCTGTACTAAACTTACTTCAGAATCTGAGTCGCGTTTAGCATTGGTTGAAATTAATTTAAGTAAAGATTCTGTATGTACACCAATAGTCGGTTCTGATACTCTTCTTCTCGAAGCAGCCGTTGTTGCCCTAAGAATAATAATGAAGAACTTTATGTGCCGATGATCAAAAATAGTGCAAGGAATCTGCAGAACTACGATATTTCATAGGCAGTCTTAAATATTATCATTGCTATCATAGTCTGGCTAACTTACTCAGGTTTCCTGCGAGCTAACTTAGGACTACTACCAGCTTGATTCCTTAAAGCAAAATGTTCAGTAAGGCTGTGAGAGAATTGTTTATGTAAATCATAGTCTTCCTTATTTTGTCGCAGAAATGACTGGATCAAGTCGCACTGTGATATTTTGCGATGCAGACTTAGTAACTCCCTTACGTAGCGATCTAAAAGAGGTAATCTCCTTTCAGCAACTTCGCGTTTAGCGCTCCTACCAAATATTATTTTACCTTAAACGAAATTGCGTAAACAAAACGAACTATTAAGATGACTTTAAAAATCTATTCCATACATTTCCTCAGTACTCCTTTCGAAGTTCCATTTTTAGTTTTGAATTAGTTCATGTACTATAAAAACTGGAACTAGAGGCTAGTGTTGCAACAGAAAGTAATGTAGTACAGCGCATAACTGCATCAAGTCAATTGACTATTAAGATCTGTGCAATAACAATCATTGAATTGCAAATTTGCAATGTAGATATGAACTACTGTATTGCACTACTAGTTATCACTTACTAATGTACCTAAAGACATATATTCACTAAGTACTGTGCAATATATACTGCAATGAATTGGTATAACTTTAAATCTTACTGTACTGAGCTAGAGTGAATACTGAATTTGTTGGCTAGAAGAGATAGAGATAGAACTTAGAAATAGATTCGCGTGTTATACTACGAGTATTTTCTTATTTTCAGACTAGCTTATCATGAGCCTACAATTTTTATAAACTGTAGTAAAGAAAACTTTTATCTCAATTCAGCTTAACTAACTTTATTGTGAGTTGTAGCAGTAAAGCAGAATAAGATATAGTCGACCTTATTACACTTACTCATTTATATCATCTTACAATGATAGATTTAGCTATTAATTTTGAAATTATGCGGCGACATACTAGTGTACGGTATGCGTATGATGAAGTTCCTACCTGGCACAGTAGGTAGTATTCGATCTTGTGGATTGACCTTACCAGCCTCTAATGGAAATCGGCGTTCCAAATGTAGTAAGAGGCCATTAAATTGGCGAAATCTGCGATATATGACATGGGTTTCGCCAGAATGTAGTATTACTTTAATTGAATACACCTAAAATGCAAGACAATATTATTAATTAATGAAAGTTAGTACTGGTGTTAGCGTATGCTAGCTATTTATACAATTATATCCCATCTAAATGCAATATAATAAAGGAAAGATAGTTCCTGATCAAGGAGAGAGCTACTATAAGGATTTTAGCATAGGTTTACGTAGAAACAGGTAACGATGAAGTAAGATTGCTAGAACGAATACAGTTTGATTAACTGTAGAGGCTAGTGAAGGAGAGTCTACAAAACTTGAAATGTTAATGCTCCCGCTAACCCTATGACCAAGCTCTTTCATGAACTGTACAGTACTGTACGTACACGTATATTTATTTTCCAGTATTTAATACCCAGACTATTAAAGAAAGTTGATTAACTGACTTCATGTTACATATACAGTATGTAACATAATCAAAATCCTTTTAAATTATAATTATTCCTTGAAACATCAAATCTTTACTCGAGTAGAGTCACCAAATCAGATCGACAGGATTAAACAACGTAAATAGCAGGGATTAAATAGTACAGTATACGTCAATTAATAATAATGATAATAATATAATTTAATAATTGTTACATTAAAACTTACGTAATATTTCGTATTCTCCAGCTGAACTTTATGGCAATCTAAAATCGTAGCGTCAATAGCTAATTCAGATTGAGACATGATTTCCGGTTATAGAATTAGAGAAGTTGCTCTTAATTTCACTTTTCACAATTAGTTATACTGTACTCTTGGTCATATTTCTCCATTAAAACATGGCTAAAATTTAAGAAACTTATTTAGGGACAACTTTTTGAATGCTGCCTGTACAGTACTCAGTGTACTGTAGAGTACATGTACAGTACAGTAGTATCAGCGCACTGTACAGTACAGTATGTACAGTACTGTACTATAGGGACAGTACAGCGCCAAAAAAAGAAAAAGGAAAAGAAAATAAACACCGGCACAGTACTGTACTTAGCACGGTAGGGTATACAGTACAGTACTGTACAGTACACCGTAAACTCTTTAAGTTCCAACAAATCACTTGCACTGCACTGTACTGTATGTACTGTACAGTATGGCTGTACTACCAGCGTACTGTACATACTGTATAGTACAGTATTGAATGAATTAATTTGGCGAAGTGTTCTGGTATTTTATCCAAAATTTTGAAAACTAGTTGAGAAAAACAAAATCTTAATTATTCTCGCTGTACTGTAGTTACCTTTAAGGAAAATATGTTAGATCTTGAGGTGATTCCGGAACGATCTCTTGGCTGTAGCCAATGGAAGTTTATAATCGGTGAGGCTCGCATAATTGTCTAGGTTGATGAAGACTTACTTTTACAATGTTTTGAACATTAAAGACTGCAATTCTACTATACTGTAGCCATTTTGCAAAATCATCGATTAATTATCTAAACGGCACTGATCATGTAGATTAAAAAGAATAAGTGTTATACCTCTAGTCATGCCATGAACCCATTTTCATACCTCATCATAATATACCTATATAGATTAAGATATATTAGCGATCGTGAAACTATGTACTACACTTATTGAAAGTTTAGTCTGAATAGGCTTAATAATTCTTAAAATTATGTGTATAGTAGGCATCATGATGAACGATGCTGTCTGTTACTATGCAGGGATTATAGGATACGTTTCTTAATTTCACTATACTATACTATTTGATCAAATCGGACATTTTATAACGGAAGTGATGATTATTAGGAACTCCTCAATTTTGAAAGTCTTCATATCTAGATTTAAAAATCTCCGATTTTATCAATTTAGTAACTTATGTGCGTATGGACGATATAGAGGCTTGCACCCTTACCTGTAAATAATATGGATAGATGTCATGATAGCATTTGGCATAGCCACAAATTACATTATCTGTAAAATATAATATAATACCGTATATTGTAGTTCTAATTTACGTACTTACAATCACATATTGTAAGCTGCAAAAGATTGGAACATCTCCGTACCTAAAGTAATACGCGTATTATAGTTACGCAGTGACTTTCTCATAGTTGATAACAGTATCTCTCGAAATTCAACAGTGCGCCTACAACGTTTATAACTGATGAGTCAACGCTATTAGACACTGTACTTTATGTTAAACATCCAAACTCACGTTATGTTACAAGGTACACGATAGTTTACGAAATTCACTAATCAACACTACAATCGAAATAGTTAATTTTTTCGCTATCCTATACTTACCGACTGGCGTGATAAACTAGACTGATAAATCGGATCGAAAAATTATTCTACAACTTGTACCATTTACTACATGCTGCTTATTCATTATCGATACGTCACACATCCAATTCGACAAATTAGTCAGAAACCCTAAAATTAAATATTATTATTATGATCGCTAAAGTTAGTAAATAAATGCAATCTTTTTTTCACGATCCATATTGTTATTACGTACATGGGTGTGAGTATGTAGAGCACAGACAGTACCTTAATAGTGATTGGATAATTATTATCATACTCACTAAGGAATTAGCTATACTAAGAAAAACGATTATAAACTAGGCAAATGGTTAAACGCTGGTGATTCATAATATTGCCGAATTAAACTTGCAATGAAAACTGGCAATAAGATAATCTTATCAATATTGAACAAAGCTATAATCATAGGTAGTTTTAAAATTACAATTAAAGCTTCGATGCATATCGTTTTAATACACGACTGGCTGCTACAGCCCGTAACAGGCTACGAGAATTTACTTTGTACTGTATGATATCTACTATTCGATGCTAAAAAATATCGCAAGTTTCAACTTATCATTGCAAAGTACAGTAGTACAAGAATATAATAAAATGATAATTACTATAGCTAAAATCAGTTGTAATAAACAAATAAAATTAGCCTGTTATTATTTACTATATATCGGACATCTTATCCATGTCCTATACTGTATATGACAATACTACATACAGCACTATAGTTCAATTTAGACCCTTGTAAGCGCATTTATTATAAAATAATAAAATTATCAAGTCTGATAGACTAATACTACATTACGGTAATGTCCGTTTTAATCAAATATGCTACCGATTTAATCTTCATACTAATACTACATATTACTGTAGATAAAATTCGTAGACCAGGCCAATTGCCAGTACTACATACTGTATGTGGAATCATTTGCGCTTATTTACGTACAGTATATTTTCAATAGCTAAATATTTAACTGATCTTAAGATGTAAACTATAAGCGATCTTGAAATACTAAAATCTACAAACAATCATTGGTGCATTATCTGTTTCAGCAATGTAAACTACTATGACAAATATTTTCTGTCTATGCACTAATTCTATTCTGTAAAATCTTTATTAATAATAGGGATTTGAAAGATTTAAGATTTAGGTATACTGTATCAATACTGATAGGAAGCAGGCATTAATTTATGATCGCTGTTCGCTATATGTTTAGGAATGTCAATATATCAAGTTATTCGAATAATTCGGAGTCAGTACGAAATCATCAAAGAAGTGGATTTCATTTACGATGAAATGGTATTTTATCTGCTATTTGTTTATTTACGATTTTGCATCTAAAAGTTTTATACACATAGAAGCGCTGATATAAATAACAGTTGCATAGAGTTCTTTTGGTAATTGCTCCTGCGCTCTTCTATGGTTCGTAACACTGGCAGAAAGATTGTATTGAAAATTTAGGGAGTAATTTCTATACAGTTTTGAGACTGCAAAAAATTTACAACAATAAGTACAACACTCCGTTGAGCTATCTGCGCTATTATATTAATCTCTAGCATAGTAATTGCTTTACGCAATATCTTCAAAAAATATATTAAAAGTAGTGGTATTTGATTTATTGGCTTCTTCAAACTGATACTCGGCGATTAAATAATGTTACTATCGATACTCTTTGCTTATAAAATAGTATAAATGTATATTATTAAATTTGATCATTGCCAAAAAATATGTACTCTAGTTGAATTTAATAATGATCGGTTTTTTTAATTACTAATTTAGAAGCCTTTGGAATCTGATATTATTATCAAACTTCCACTAGATGGAATTTGCTTCATTCATGAGCCGGACACACAGCGATTAAAGGTCAAAATGCTAAACTACACTTCATATGCAATATTCATATTTTTAGCTGTTGTAATACCATCATCACTGACATGTCTTAGTAAAAATATGTTATTAAATTTAATATTTACAAATTACATTCGTTTTATACGTCAACTTTTCAGATTATAGAAGTTTACGACTTAGACCGAGTCAAGTTAACTTACAGGTATCTTTATCATTCGAAAGTTACATTACTAAATGTACCGTAATTAATGTGATAGGCCTACAAGTAAAAAAGTAACACCGAGCAACGTGCTGTGACATATTCTTGATTATTCTTTGATCTTAATCAACTGTACTATCAAGGATGACGTATACCTTTAGAAATCATATGTACTTATTGCATAACAGGCTGAAAGCATTGATGTATTTATATGCATATTACAGTGGAAGCCATTTCAACTCCCCTACTATAAAACCAACATTTGAGCAAGTTACGAAATCTTTTGGACATACCCGTCCTGGAGGTTTGATACTATTTTCTGCAATTAGTATTGTATCCAGCTGTATTATTCCAATATAATAGCGGTTTCAATTTTGGTCATAGAATACGATACAGCCAACCGTACTTGCACGCTTAACTTCCGCGGTCTATCATTTGTTTTTAGTGGCAATTTTAAATATGAGGTACAAACATAAGTTATTTGCTGTAAATAGAAAATTGATTATCTTATGGGCAAGTTCTATTACACTGATCTTGTCTCAACTGAAATCATAATAAATTGTAGCCTTCAAACAAGCATGGTGTGGCATCAATTCAAATTTCTGATTCAGATTCAATCTCTAGAATATATATTTATGATGGAAGCTCCCTAAAAGACACTAGGTAAAACTAGTTACCTGGCACTTTCCAATATAAGTTAACATGTAATTAAATATTTTTGTCTCTTCTATTATTTCGGTCAATGTGTAGAGCTCCACCAATACCGCTAGACTGCTATTTGGGTAATTGCTTTACTGATAAAGTAGAAGTTGTGACGGAAGATGGTCTGGTGCAGTTCCTTAAATTTCGCCTTCTAGCAGAAAGTTGGAAATATTTATCAATAATACAACAATAGGCTATATATTTTAGCTAGATGATCGCAATAGATATTTAATTGCATGTGTAATGATAGGATAAAATTAAACAAAAAAATTTCGATATTGTTAGGTTCGTTAAAAGAGGTTCATGTTAAGGAAGGAATTGTAAAATTTGGTGATACATGTCAGGTATATTACTTGAGCGCATATTAATCACATTTTCAACAAAGGTAAACCACTAATTCAGATGCTGTATAATTACCAAATTAGAATGTTACAACTATCCTCGGAGCCCCATGTAGAATATTCTACAAGCCTGAAGATAAAGTTAGGAAATACATGCAGCCCTACTTCTTCGCATTCATGATTGTATAGCATTATTATTTATTAATACCATACTTCAATTTACTAATGCGTTGTAATAACTTAATATTGTTAGATGAGAATTCATTCACCATCTCCACGAAAATTAAGCAACTCGCAGTGGTCTGATTACTTTTTCAATTATTTTACCCTTGGTATTGTAAGTAAACTAGTGGATACCGTCATCTAGTTACTTTAAACATTAGGTACTGTTATGTCTAATTCATTTTGTTACCTCATTAGGACATCCTTTTTGATGGTAGAACACATCGTGTTAAAAAATTTATCTTACATACTAATTATCCGGGCCATTACAATTTTAGTACGTACTACCGATGTAATTTTTTTATCAAGGTCTTCAATGGCAATGACGGTATGTTGAAATGAAATAGCTGATAATAAACGACTGTAACAATTCTTATTTTTTAGATATGAATGCTTATTTTAAACCGAGAGGCGCCAATTTTTTTGCTAACTTCTGAAAAATGACTTTTGTAGGTGATATCGGAAATATAAGTGGAGATGAATCCCTACTTGTCATAAAAGCAACAACGAATGTTAGTGGATATTTGATAAATTGATTAGTAATGATATTGGTGTACAATACGCAAACTATGAGTTACACATTTCTCAATGGATACGTTTTGATGTAGTGGGAAAGTGTACAGCACCTTCTTGGCAAACCCGTTGAACCTCCTGTCGTGATGAATAGGTAGACATTCGTTCAGTCGCATTGATTTAAAATTATATGAATGTACATAAAATTCGACAAAATTTATAAGTTACTTAATAACAATGTAATTATAGAGCCTCATCTACAAATACTGTCAATCCTTTTGGACCTACTTTTTGTTATGGATATCAAAACATGATAATCGAAGTAAGGATAGACTAGCCGTTACACTTTACGTTTTAATCCTACATTTTTATGGCTACAATTATAATTGATATTCGATTAATATACCGTACAGATTATGTATTACTTGTATGCTGCTAGAGTTAGATAAGCGCAATATGCTACTGTACTATTCTAAAATTATATATTTTATAATTATTAGCAGCTTTAGCTTAAACACTAATATTGCCATTTAATATGTGATCTCCAGGTGATGGAAAATAATCATATTGCGTCTGTTACCCTATTTTCAAAAGAATCAATTTAAGTTAAAACACTACATTGGGACGAAAAGGTTTGCTAACGTCGATAGAATTTTTCTAATCGGGCATTAGAATTAATTTATATTTTATAATAGCTTATAATTGGCCTCTAATTCACGGTCATTTTAATATAGGCATCCAATTTCGAAAGATAAGAAAAGCTTTTCTTGACTCATATACATTAATATCTCAGCAAGGTGGACATGTGTATCTTTATTGTAAGCACTACGTAATGTTTATAAACCTAAGCGAGTAAATTTGCGTTCAAGTGAAGATTTGAGCATTTAAATAGTGTCGTTCTGTAATTTGACGCAAAATTGTAAAAGGAGACAATTCATGTATTAGTATATAAGGTATACTAAGGCTATCTAAAATTTTGTGAGACCAGCAGATACCGTATGTATACTAACAGAACACTGTATATGCGTTGTTCTGAATTAAACTGTGCCATTGTATTTTTGACATCGTAAATCTGATTTCAGTCGGCATGGCCGCAATGAATCCTACAATGGTAGGCTTTCGACTTATTTAGATCAATAAGATCATAAAAATATAATACTATTTACTGTACGAAGCTGTCCGTATAAAACAATCTAATAACTGCATTTCAGGGATTCACTACGTTAAAATTAAAATTATATTGCTTAAATTATTCGAATGTATTATTTCTAAATGTGAACTAAGTAAAACGCTGTCGAATTTTTGTAATAAATAATTATTGTTATTATTACCAGCAAAGTGCTTTAAATATCTACCGGTAGTGACGGTATAAAGGAATATAAATCCTCCTTCCTGCGGAAATTACTTATCATGCATATTTGTACTGAATATGCAGTACTTACACATTTTCACACAATGCAATTCCAAATATTGAAATCAAGTTTAATTGGTAATAGCTTATTCCGGTAAGTATAATTAAGATATGAGCATATGACTACCGTTATATTACGATCATCTCCACTACCAAACGTATGCCGCCGAATCGGATATCATTCGCGTACATTAATTAGACTATTCAGAATATTGTAATGACGGTGCTATGTAAAGTAAAATAAGCTAGATACAGTTTCCACCTAGACGGCATGCGTATCGAGTCAATACTGAAGGCCCAAAATTATCGGAAAGCATTAGGATAGGCTAGTAGTGAAGTCTTTTAAAAACATTGTGGCAGTGAAGGAAGTGTGTCCAGGTGCATTAATGCATTAAAACAGTGGATTCTTTGTATGTGGCACGCCTTGACAGAGAGCAGTAGTATCTGAAAATTTGGTTTAGTAATATGCGTAACATCTACTTTAAACTATCGTTCAAAGTAGAGCTTCTGAACTAGCAAACGTATTTGTAACATAAAATATGAGCGATATACGTGTAAAATGAGAGATAATCTATCGTCGTAGTATTTTACAGAACACAGAGTTGCATACAATAACATACTGTAGCTTGAATGCTTGATATTTAGTATACTCTCAATATTTAAATGACTAATGAAAACTAGACTTAGATAAATCAGGATGAGCTTACTAACATATATAGGCTTAATAACTAAATATGATTTTATACAAGTTCCATTTATGAACAATTCGTAGATGCCAGTATCAATAATCGAAATAATACGCATGCTGTGTGTTTTCATATCATCGACACCACAAGGCCTATCATAATAGATTAGAAACAGTAAACAAAAACTCTTCTAGATATAGTAAAGATAATTAAGTTACTGGATTAGTAATTAATAATTATAATTATATAATCCATCTGATCGTTTTTATTTTCGCAAACCCTCTAATTATGATTTTATTTTATTAATCTACTAACCATGAAACCTGGCATAGCGGGGCATTGTGCACATAACGTTTAAATCTAACACTGAACGTAAGCTACACTTAGTGGCTAGATCTGTTTTCCGGATTAATCAACATACTAGTGTCGTAATAATACTGACGAGGGAATGCTAGCTGGAATAACCATTTCAAATTATCATTTAAATTTTCTAAATATATATATAATTATCATTAATTTTCGAGCAAAAGTGATCAATACCTAATTTTTTTGACCGAACCAAAGTATTGTACTAGAATGTCACAACTACAGCACCAGAATATCATATAATTTCAATGTCTTATTATTATCCCGATTTTATCTAAATTATAACCGTAAGCACAGCAGCGTTGATTACTTTAAATGCTACTGCAAGTAAATTCTGTTTCTTACAGCTTTTTTTTACGTGTAGAACTGCGAAATGTAATAATAATAATAAATGTAATTAGACTTATGTACCGACATAATCAAATCAGGAACTTTCATAGCCAGACTTCTTATAATCAAGTTGACATTGTCAATATGATTTTCAGTATCACCGTTACACAATTGACAAAATTTTAATTTTTGGAGAATTTTCTTAGCTTAATTGTAACATAAATCAATTTAAGTTTATTTAAAATATATAACTTTATAATGCCCAACATTAACCCAAGATTATTATTTATTGATAATGAAATTAAAATATGGAAGTATAAAATAACTATTGGCCAATTATAAAGTCATCAAACCGAGGAATGAATTGATAGGCAATACGCTGTATTGCGCCTGTTGCCGTAAATAATGATAAATACGGGCACAGCAATATTTAATTTGCTGATTACGTCCCATAATTAGTAGATAAAAACCGATCGACGCATTTATCCAATTCAATTTAATAACATCAGTCACCAACATGGTGCTTATATAACATTCACATTGAGTAAACTCCAGATTAAGATCTTACATTGATCAAGCTAACGAGTAGATAAGAATTCAGTATCAATAAATAATCGGTTTTGGTAAAGCGCGTGTAAAACTGCCTGATATGTAAGAAAAGATTATAAATTGAATCATAAAAGAGATTTTTCACTTCATTTATAAATTTACTATGTTAAAGTATTACTACGCAAAAGGAATATAAGGTTCTGATCAAACATCAAGAACATTTATTCCTTTTAATCATATCATTCTAACAGGACGTATAATTAATATTTTATCAGTAACTAGTGTACCCATTACTGATCGATTGATAAAGCGGTGAAACAAATTGATATAGAATGAATCCATTAATGACAAACTATAAGATGTCTTGGTCTAATTAATGAATATGTTACATAGTTAAGATATCCATTTTGTACAGAAAGAATGTATATTGCTCTATACCTTTTGAAGATCGCACCTTCTAATTTCTTTTCGACGAAAGCAAAATCGTCTAGTCATGGCAGTTCGAATATCGACAGTAAGTAATCCGTAAATGAAAGGACAAATTGATAAATTTGTAAAAATGAGATAAACTGAGATTAATGAGGCTGCATTTAAAAATTTTCCTAATGCATCTGAAATCTTGTTATCATTACTGATTAAAACTAGAGACAAAGTATGGAAAATTACCCATGAAATTATGTATATAGTCATTGTAATACCGTGAATTAAACTTGTGCATATGTGATTATTTTCACGATTTTTTACACTAAAATTCAATGACAATGCCGTATTTTTCAAGCGTCGACGCTGCTTATATGCTGTAGCAAAGATTGATGTGTAAAGGAAGATAATAATAATGCAGCTTAATGCAAAATTAATAGCGACAACAAAAATAGAATAAATCCTTTCATGTTGAATATATCTAACAATCAGAGCTACCTGATTGCAGACTGTACTATCCGAAGTTTCAGTAATATTACGCCATGCGACACTAGGTAAGAAACCGATGATAAACGGTTGTAACCAAATATAACAAAACATAGTAATAGTTACTTTCTTGGTCAAAATGTAATGATAAGTTAATGGATACATGACGATTGTGAAGCGGCAAATTCCAATCGCTAAAACGTGCAATACACTAGATGAGCTCAGAAAAATAGAAATGCTGTATGATAAATTACAAAAAATAGTACCAAATGGCCAAAATGTTGAAATACCACTCACAACTAATGGTAGCATTTGTAGTAGTGCCAATAGTAAACTTGAAAATGCAAAACTGGCTAAAAATGAATTGTCAATCGTTCGTAATTTGCGTTGCGATATAATAGTAATAAATAGGCTTGCATTAGCAAGTAGGCAAACAACAAGTAAAATACCTAAGGAAATAATCTTAGGTAAGACTTCTCCATTTAATTCGAACATCCTTTCATTGCTGTCAGTGGCCATGATCAATTCGGTCTTCCCCAGAAGATAATGATAATCAAGTTCTGCTTATATCTTGCTAATATATAGTTAAAATATTATTGGAAGAACCAAGTCAAATTGTCGCTTAACTTTATAGTCATGAAGCAAATCAATTAATATGTAATTTTTTTATTATTAATTGATTGATTGAAATATTTCTATAGGGTATGAGATCCTTTCTTTTGCTTTTAAATCACATAATATCTACGAAATAAGCTTAAGTAATAGATACTATCTTATATATAACAAGAAAGCTGGCATAATTTAAAACGAATATTCAAATTTTCTGTACTGTATACTAGTACATCAAAATTAAACAATTATATAAAATTCTCTGTTGCTTCATTCATTTTATACTTACAATCAAAGACAGTGCAGTTAATATTACAACAGAACTTCTTTTATCGCATTAAGAATTCAAATAAGCTAATGCTACTGACGAAGCGTAACCTTTCTAAAAAACAATGAAATGTCAATCAATTTCTAGCTTAAATGCTTTTATTTATTAATACGGTTATAATGTTATCGTTATATTATCCCTGCTATTTTAAATTAATTAACACGGAGTAGATATTAATATTATTTAAATGATTAAAATAATAAACTTGAAATTGCTTGCTTTTTATTATTAATATAAGCTAAATCAACTTGATATATTGGCTTTTGCAATATCAAATAATGTAGTCGTACGGTGGCTACATTATATTGATTCCCTTAAACTAATTGTTGACCTACTACAATGGATAGATTGGATAACAATACTACACGTACTTTGTAATATTTATTTATGCTACTTTACTGAAGACAGTAACCAGAGTTG